TTTTCACTTTTAAGTTTCAGAGTAGCAGCCGTGTTAAGTTACTAGCTCCCCTCTTGGAGTAAGAGTCACGAGGGAGCAGCAGCCAGCTGTGGGAGCCTGCAGGTAGGGTCAGAACAGGGATAGGAAGAGGCTGGAGGATGGACACTAAGACCCATTGGTGCCCCAAATTTCTATGCAGCCGCGCGTATGCCTAAGGACAGCCCAGGCTGACATGATAGTGGCTACAGCAGGGACTCCTGATGTTATCAGACTGTTTCACAGCTTTACTGAGCAGTCTCTCCCCTCTGCTGATTGCTTCCCCCACATGGTCAATTCACCTCTGCCTCACTCTAGCCTCCTCCCTTCCCATCTCTCTCCCTTATCTCCCCTCTCTTACACCATTTGCCTCTCTGTCTTCAGTGACTCTTCTCCCTCCTTTTCTGTTTCGCTTAAAATCTTCCCTCAAAAGAGTTTAAAAGATATTGTGGCATTACCATGCCGTTTGCCACCTGTCACTCTGCTGATGAGTTCTGCCACTCCCCCCACACCATGTTTGGTTTAGTTAGACTCTACGATCTTTAGGGCAGGGACTGTCTCTTAATCTTTGCCTGTGCAGTGCCCAGCACAATGAGGTCCCAATCTCAGCTGGGCTCTTTAAACATTAATTATGAATTTCCCGCAGTAGTGAATTTAAGCCAGCCCTTCAACGTTATTTTAATTCATTTTTTCATATTTAACTTTTCTGTGTTTTCTTTCATTATAATTTAAGGCCACAAAACCCACTGTAGAGTTCAAAATCTTTACTGGAGCAGGTGGGCCAGTCCTGTAACACAGTGAGAGGAGGCAGAGGCATCTGACACATTGGTCCAGTTAATGCAGAGTCATTTCGCACAAATATTGCCCCTTTCAATCTTGTAACTGTTGGTATCAATGTATTAAGCTACATAAGTAAACCTTTCTATTAAAAGTAACACACACCAGAGTTTCTTACACAGGGGAATGTTTTACTTATTTTAACTTATGAAAAAGAATCCATTTTCCCACAAAACTTGAGACCAATTATTTGCCAGGTTTCAGGCAACCAATAAACCCTCAAAAAAATAAAGGCTAAGTTTGCGGGACTGTAAATCTGGTTCTAAATTCCTGAAGATCACAGATCCCCTATACACTCCTGCAGTTTACTGCTCATCTAGGTGGAAAAATCCCACATTCATGGGGATGGTGCATGCACTCCTAATGCTGCTGAGCAGCATACAACGAACGACTGATATACAGTTAGGTCTTTAATTTCTTTCTGAAATAAGACACTGGGCACCAACACAAATTGTTTTTGGAATGTCTGATAGCTCCTTCAGGAAATGGAGAAAAAGATGCTCTGCATAAGAACCAAAGAGAGCTCTCTAGGTCAACCAAAAATACTGGGTAGTAAATGCTATTAGGAGCATTTTCTGCAAATAAATTAACATGAAAGTCTCCACTGCTTTTGGAGCCAAAATATCTGTAAGCTCTCCCCTCTGACCAGAGCTGATGTATACAACAGCAAACGTGAAGGAGGCTTGGAACTATTTTAAGTCGAAGTTGCAGAAACCATCTGTAACTTGCATCCCAAGCAAAGGGGAAAAAAAACTCATAGGGAAGGGTTGCAGACCAAACATCTCAAACAGATTACTAAGAGAAAGCAGAAAGCCTACAAGGCATGGAAGAAGGGATGGATTAGCAAGGAAAGCTACCTCCTGGAAGTCTGGAATTGTAGGAATAAAGTGGGAACTGCCAAAAGCCAAGCAGAGCTGGATCTTGCAAAGGAAATTAAAACCAATTATAAAAGGTTCTTTCGCCATATAAATAAAAAGAAAACAACAAAAGAAGGGGGAATCCAGCATAAAGATTAAAGATAATCTAGGTATGGCCCAACAGCTAAATGAATACTTTGCCTCAGTTTTCAATAAAGCTAATGGGAATCTTGGGGGGAGCGGCCAGGTGGCTAATGGCCACAAGGAAATGGAAGTCGAAATTACCACATATGAGGTGGAAGCCAAACTCAGACTGCTTAATGGGACCAAATCGGGAGGCCGGGATAATCTCCATCCAAGAATATTAAAGGAACTCGCACATGAAATTGAAAGCCCAGTTGCAAAGATTTTTAACAAATCCATAAACTCAGGATTCATACCTTATGACTAGGTAATTGCAACTATTGTACCTATATTTAAGAAAGGGGGGGGGGGGGGGGAAGTGATCTGGGAAACTACAAGCCCAGTAGTTTGACCTCAGTTGTAGGCAGATTGTTAGGACAAATTCTGAAAGAGAGCATAATTAAAGACAGAGATAAATGGTAATTTGTATAAAATACAACATGGTTTTACAAAAGGTAATAATAATATAATAATATATGGAGATATACCTATCTCATAGAACTGGAAGGGACCCTGAAAAGTCATCAAGTCCAGCCCCTTGCCTTCACTAGCAGGACCAAGTACTGATTTTGCCCCAGATCCCTAAGTGGCCTCCTCAAGGATTGAACTCACGACCCTGGTTTTAAGCAAGCCAATGCTCAAACCACTGAGCTATCCCTCCCCTGCAGATTGTGCTAGACCCAACCTGATCTCTTTCTTTGACATAGGACTTTTAATCTAGACAAAGAAAAAGCAGTAGATCTAAGCTAACTGGATTTCAGTAAAGCATTTGATACAGTTCCATGTGGGTAATTATTAGTTAAATTGGTGAAGATGAGGATTAATACAAGAATCGAAAGGTGGGTAAGAAACTGGTTAAAGGGGAAACTACAACAGGTCATACTGAAAAGTGAACTATCGGGCTGGAGAGAGAGTACAAGTGGTACATCTCAAGGATCAGTCTTGGGACCAACCTTATTTATCATTTTCATTAATGACCTTGACACAAAAAGTGGGAGTGTACTAATAAATTTGGCAGATGACACAAAGTTGGAGGACCGGAATATCATACAAGATTTGGACAACCTTGAAGCTGAAGGAATAGAAATGGGATGAAATTTAATAGTGGAGGGTGCAAGATCATGCATTTAGGGATTAATAACACGAGTTTTTGCTAAAAGCTGAGGACTTATCAGTTGCAAGCGACAGAGCAGGAGAAAGACCTGGATGGACTGGTTAATCACAGGATGACTATGAACCACCAATGTGATGCAGCCATGAAAAAGGCTAACACAATCCTAGGATGCATCAGGTGAGACAGGGAAGTGTCATTGCCATTATACAAGGCACTGGTGAGACCTCATCTGGAAAACTGTGTGCAATTCTGGTCTTCTATGTACAAGAAAGATGAATTCAAACTGGAACAGGTGCAGAGAAGGGCTATTAGGATGATCAGAGGAAAGTAAAACCAACTTTATAAGAGAAGACTTAAGGAGGAAGGCAGAGGGAGATATAATTGCTATCAGAGGGATAACTTAACTTCTCTCTCTCCCTGGTGCTTAAGGCCCAATGATGGCACAAAAACAAAAACAAAGGGATATACACTGCCCATCAACAAGTTTAGGCTTGAAACCAAGGTTTCTAACCATCAGAGGAGTGAAGTTCTGGAACAGCCTTCAAAGAAGAGTAGTGAGGGCAAAAACCTAACCTCTTTCAAGACTGAGTCTGATAAATTTATGTAGAGGATGATACAATGAGGTAGCCTACAATGGCATATGGACCATCTGCCACTGTTATTAACAAATATCTTCAGTAGCCAGAGATGGACACTAGATGGGGAAGGCTCAGAGTTATTACAAAGAATTCTTTCCCAGGAGGTTGGTTGGTGGGTCTCACCCACATGCTCAGGGTCTACCTGATCACCATATTTGGGGTTGAGAAGGAATTCTCCCCCCACCCGCTCCAGGTCAAATTGGCAGTAACCCTGGGGGTTTTTTCACCTTCCTCTGTAGTGTGGGGCACAGGTCACTGGATGATTTGAGTAACCGATGGATTCTCTGTAACTTGAAGTTTTTAAATCAAGATTTGAGGACTTCAGTAACTCAGCCAGAGGTTATGGCCCTATTGCAGGTGTGGATGGATGAGGATCTGTGGCCTGTGATATGCAGGAAATCAGACTAGATGATCATAATGGTCCCTTCTGGCCTTAAAGACTACGAGCAAAGGGAGACAAGGAAGAAGAGCTCGGACTTCACATCCGCAGAGGACGTTACCCAACATTGGGCTGGCCAAGCACACCTCACAAAATGCAGCTGGATTAAGAAGCTTTCAATTAATTTAAAATCACCATTTTATTAGTGATGCCTACAGAATAGCAATACAAATGACAGGGTGTTTTTTAATTTGCTCTAAATTTGTTCTGTTCCAGAACTTCTAAAGTTAATGTAAACCAGCTTCATAAGTGTCTACTATGTTGGGGTATAGCTTCATGGGTTTCACTCCCATGAATGCCAGCGAAACTAGAAGAGTGAGATATTTCCTGTCTGTACAGAACGCACTGGAGATGAAAGCAGAATCCACAAACACTATCCTATCAACAATCAACACTGGCCTAAGCATAACCTGATGCCTAATAAATATATCCCATTGTAACTATTTTTGCTTTCACTGCAACTTTTAACCCAACTGATCACCAAGTGTCAAGCCCAGGCCAGCATTCACGATTTCTGTTCTATACCAAAGAGAAATATCTCCCATGGCTGTTGTGTCTTAGCCTTTCTCCTTGATCGTAACTAATTTGGTTCCAGTTTGTAGTACTCGTCTTTTCATAACAGTTAGTAACCAATAAAGTAACCAATGTTTCATTCTCCATGTTCCAATGACAGCTACCTTGCTGTAGAGGGGAGGTTACACTCTACCCGTCAGTTTCAGAATATGCAGCTGATTCAGTAAGAAGTAGATGTCAGTAGAGCATTCAGATCCTGCCTGAGATAGCCACTCCAAGAGTATTATGAGCTAACCAATGTGGGGGGGGGGAAAGGGAAGTGGGCGAGACATACCGTGATTTGCTTTTCTTTCAAGCAGTATTTTGCTCTCACTGATTTGCACAACAACTCCTGCTACCTTTACCTGAATTTCATCACATTTGATGAGCTTTTCCACCTCTTCCTGATTTAAGAGGATGAACTCTTCATGCTGAACCACCTCTGGGAAGTGTTTCTGGCTGAAGACCTCTGCTGCCTGCATTAGATCAACGCAGTTGTGTGTCTCAGCAAAATCTCGGATGCCCAAACAGTTTGACGGATCCAGCTGGCTTTCCAAGAACTCACAACAAGCCTGCTTCACACCTATGGAAATAAGATGAGTGAGTGAGCTCACGCACTTCTGCTTTGGAAAGTAATTTAGAAAACCAAGCTCTAGTCTATATTGAAATGTAAACCCCAAAGCCTTGCTTAGAGGTAAGCACACACCAAGGGGCATATAGGCAAACATTTCTTCAGGGGCCAGGAAAAAAATAAAGCAACAGACTGTATGTTTAGGCCACTGACTATTTATACATATTAAAAATAACTTGACAGATATAGGAGAGACTCAAAAGGAAGCCTTACACAGCTTGGGAATCTATAAGACCTGAGAGTGGGAGATGCCCTGGGACGCTTATTTGTTTTATCACCATATCTCCACGAGGTTCAAACTTTCTTATCAGTGAGAACAGAGTACACGCAGCAGCACATTTGACAGACAGCTATTATGCAATTTCAAGACAAAAAGACTTGGGTCTGGAAACAGCCCAGCAGCCTTCTGCATTCTGCCTTCTGCAATCTTTCCTTTACTTACAAAGACATTCCAGAGCTCTAAACAGCATCAACTGCATGGTTAATTGGTTTGCAGTTACCTTTCAGCTGAAGCAGACATGCTGCTGGGAGCAATTCCTGGACATTTTCTACTGTCACATGAACCGTTTCTGTATACACAAAGTCCAGAAGGATTTCCATAGTAGAGGCTGTCAACCCTTGGATATCCACATATGGTTTATCTTTTTCTGAAAGCTACAAATTAAAAGCAAGGGAGATAATGGTTTATTTTCCAGAGGTCAGACCAAAAACCCAATGATGGCTCTTAAAAGTTGTCCTTTCAGAGTACTCTGCCTTTTCAGTGCATGTAAAAAGGGAAAAGATAAAAATGAAGGAATTCCCTTGGAGAATTCAGCGTGTGTGCGTGCACACACACACACGTGTGTAGAGGAGACAGTATTTCTTGTGTGTAGAAGGATGCCTCAGGAAAACTGTATTTTGGAAGAAGCCAGATGAGATTTGACACAACAGAAGCTTAATGGGTGGTATTTAACCTAAGATGAATGGCAGACTCACTATCACCACCTGGTATAGGCGCAGACTCCGTGGGTGCTCCAGGGCTCAAGCACCCATGGAAAAAAATAGGGGAGTGCTCAGCACCCACTATCCACAGTGGTTTCACCATGGTGCTGGCCGCCTGATCAACTATTTGGTGAGCACTCAGGGGAGGGGGCAGAGAGGAGGGACCAGTGGGTGGGCAGGCGGGGGGGTGGGCTTTGGGGGCAGAGAGGAGGGAGCAGCGAGCAGGCAGGGGGCCTTAGGGGAGGGGCAGAAAGAGGTGGAGCGAGGGCAGTGCCTTGGGAGAAGAGGCCAAGCGAGAGTGGGGCCTTGGGGTGGAGCACCCACCGGGAAAAATAAAAGTCAGCATCTGTGCCATTTGATATGCAGAAGTGAGGAGGGAAGGAGAGTTCCCCCCAACTCTTCACCTTGGACTGGCTACCTGACACATTATAGGTTGTGTGGAGCAGCCATCTCACGCCTGTCTTTATAATCACACCACAAAAAATTCCATTAAGCCAGAGTTAAGATTGAAGGGACAAATCAGTAATTTAAGGATAAAAATCCTTACAAGAACTTCGTCGTTCTATTAAAAAGCCAGGAATTTCAGAGCCAAGGTTAAATTTACATGAAAAACATAAAAATAGAGAAATGCACAGTTAAGGTACCCAATCAATCTTAACTCTGGCCCACTTTGCAATGCCAACCTTCCATCTTCCTTTTGTTATTTTGTAAGATGTGCTATTTTGGATCAAATACTTTTTCTAAGGGCTTTAAAGGATTCATCAAATATAGACATATTAAATTCCAAGAAGCCACAGTACTTATATATGTGCAGGTGAAATACACCTTTATCCCAATATAACACTGTCCTCAGGATCCAAAAAAATCTTACCACGTTATAGGTGAAACCGCGTTATATTGAACTTGCTTTGATCCGCCAGAGCGCGCAGCCCCTCCCCTCCCAGCACTGCTTTACCGCATTATATCCGAATTCGTGTTATATCGGGGTAGAGGTGTACTGAAATTGTGCTTCACAGACATCAATTTATAATTGATTTCAGGTCTCTATTGTAAACCTGCTGACTGTTTCTAATGACTCTTGGATAATTGGCTAGCATACAGAACCACAAAGTCTGCTCCTGCAAGCTGTTGAGGATCTCCTGTCAGTATGCACAGGCCTTTAATGAGGTCTTCAGGATGTGACTTATGAAGTAGATTTTTCCCCCCTGAAGCCTGTATATGGCTAAAGGTGGCAGGGTCAGCACTAGACGAGTATGATTCAGAGAAAAGCACTTGAGCTTCTCTTGTAAAAGATGAGATTAAACGGTTATGGATAAGGATTCAATGAGGAAGGATTGTTGCTTGGCCACGGAACTGCCAGAGTTGAAGAAGAAAATAATAATCCAGTAATGGAGGAAATCAGTGCAGTCCTGGGCCTTCCTATGAAGGTTCAGGCAACACAGGAGTGGAGGAAACAGACTGAGCCAGTGCCGTGGGTTACTGGGATGCACTTTACAATAGAAGAGAGGGGAACAGGAGTCAAAGGTGATGGAGAAAGCAGAATGAGGGTGCAAAAGAAAGAAAGAGTGTAAGAAGACAACAGCCTGAGGATTGCAGAGAAGTGGGATGTAGAAGGTGAGTGGACCATATACAATGAGACTCAGTGGAAATCTGAGAGAGAGGATTCATAAAACTTAAGGCCAGATGGAACCACTAAAATCATTTACTCTGACCTCCTGCAGAGGCCAGGCCAGAGAACTTCACCCAGTGATTCCCACATCATAGAATATCAGGGTTGGAAGGGACCTTAGGAGGTCATCTAGTCCAATCCCCCGCTCAAAGCAGGACCAACACCAACTAAATCATCCCAGCCAGGGCTTTGTAAGCCGGGCCTTAAAAACCTCTAAGGAGGGAGATTCCACCACCTCCCTAGGTAACGCATTCCAGTGCTTCACCACCCTCCTAGTGAAATAGTGTTTCCTAATAGCCAACCTAGACCTCCCTCACTGCAACTTGAGACCATTGCTTCTTGTTCTGTCATCTGTCACCACTGAGAACAACCTAGCTCCATCCCCTTCAAGTAGTTGAAGGCTGCTATCAAATCCCCCCTCACTCTTCTCTTCTGCAGACTAAATAACCCCAGTTCCCTCAGCCTCTCCTCGTAAGTCATGTGCCCCAGCCCCCTAATCATTTTCGTTGCCCTCCGCTGGACTCTCTCCAATTTGTCCACATCCCTTCTGTAGTGGGGGGACCAAAACTGGGCACAATACTCCAGGTGTGGCCTCATCAGTGCCGAATAGAAGGGAATAATCACTTCCCTCAATCTGCTGGCAATGCTCCTACTAATACAGCCCAATATGCCGTTGGTCTTCTTGGCAACAAGGGCACACTGCTGACTCATATCCAGCTTCTCGTCCACTGTAATTCCCAGGTCCTTCTATGCAGAACTGCTGCTTAGCCAGTCGGTCCCCAGCCTGTAGCGGTGCATGGAATTCTTCCTTCCTAAGTGCAGGACTTCAAGCCCATAACTTCTGGTGAGTTACAGCATGTCTTTTAGAAACAGACATCCATTCCTGATTTAAAGATTCCAAGAGATGGAGAATCCAGCATGTCCCTAGGTAAGTTAGCTACACTATTAAAAATGTTTTCAGATAATGAGTCCCCATTTAGTTACTTTTTGAGATCTGTCAAATGGATTATAAATTAGCCAACTAACATCTTACTGTGCATTTTTTTCCAATAATGCTTTTACTTTCTGCCTTATCAATTGTCTGCACTGCATAACTGCTAATTTACTACTATCAAATCACTGCTATCAACTTTCTCTTTTTCCATTTGATAAAACTGCTGCTTTCACGTCCCTTCTTTACCAGGACAGATTTTTCTGACTGAAGCCGCCTTTGGATACAGAGAAATCAAGAAGGAACAGTTTTTTAGTGAAAACAAAATCAGATGAGTGGCCATTTTGGTAAGTGAGCAAGCTATATCATGGTTTAAAATCATAAGACAGGAGGACAAGAAGTCAGGTGTGTGTGGGGGGGGGGGGGGGGGGGGGATCAATGTGGGGATTGAGGTCACCAAGGATGAGGGTGGGAAACTGAAAAGAGTGGAAGAGGGAAAGCCAAACATGAAAATCTGAAGATGGTGCTGAGGGAGTGTTGGGGCAGCAGGTGACAGCTGTTTGGATAGAGAAGAGAGAGTATAGTCAGAGGGAATGTTGCTCAAAAAAACAGCCATTCCCCCTCTGCTCTTGAGGAGAGTGCAGGAATGGTGCTGCACTTGGGCCAACGCTTTGGAGAATCAAAGCACACACCCCTCTCCCCAGTGAACTAGACAGAGTTGTCAACCACGCAAAAGGCCAATTTTTAGTCTTTTTGGGGGCTGAGGAACAGAATAAGGACTGAAGGATGTCCCTGAAGAGCCCCACCCAAAGCTCATGAAAAGGAGGAAGGAGTGACTCTCCCATCTTGTGACCTCACTGTCCCCAAGCGCTATACTTTCCCTATACCTCTCCAACTTCTGTAAACATCCTGAAATATGCAGGAAGTAAATATCTTAGCAGGTCTGCTGAGGATGGTATAGGTACAGGAAGCAAAGGAGGAGACAGGATCTGAAGGGGGACTAGGGATGCCAGGAAAGTGACCCAAGGGGCAAAGTCTGCTCCCCACACTCATTTTCCTGGGCTTCACACAGTGCATACAGGTGTCCTGAGGAACAAAGAACCCATCCCTGCTCAGCTACCTCCTCTGCCTTCTGGGCTGGCACATGAAGCTCCTATTTAAATTCTTAGCTTTTTACATACCTAAGCTTTGGACCTGGACATCAACTTTTAAACTAGAGGAGACCAGAAAATTAAGCATGTGTGCTCTCTGTCTCATCTTTTCTTGAAACTAAGTGCCAAAACACACAAATGTTTCAGATTCTGAAGAGCTCCTGTATTTAGAATAGTTAGGAAACACCCTTGGCCCAAACCACTTTAAAACTGGTAGAAAAATTCTTCCTTGGCCCCAAACCAAATCTACCAATTTTGAAGCCTCTGCTTGTGGACTGGGAAGTAGGGCAGCTGGGGAAAGCTGGGCTCTGAGATACTCACTAGCAACTTTAATCATGAGAAGGTAGCAATAGCTACTATTTCGTAACACACTGGCAGTAATTCAATGCCCAGATATCAAGAACAGCACCTACAATCTGCATGAACTATACCGCCTGTCTATGTGGTTATCAGGTGGGATTTTTATTCAAGGACATCCAAACTCTGCTTCATTTTGGCTCTTTCAATACCACAAAAACATTTAGCTTGCTTGTAAATGACCTTCCATAAGAGAGATTATAAGCCACTGCATCACCGCGATTCCTTCTGCCTCAATGCCCTGTTGAATGAAGACCCTTAAAACATTCAGTGTGAGAAGCTGACCTTGCTTTATAAATCTGTATATTTTGGAATCATTTATTTCTTGAGAATGTTCTGCCTTAGCGTCCATTCACCAGCCCAGGCAGCAAACAGTGCTATGAAATCAGAGTGCATGCATCTAGGATGAAAGTCTCATCTCCGTTAATCAATCTATGGGTAGTCTGAAGTTAGACTGGGTATCTGAGGGGACCCTACCATCATTTTTCCATTATCACCATTTAAAATGACCAAGAACGAATCTAATAATACTGAACACATTATACTGAACACATACTGGATTCAGTTATTGTCTACACACAAGAGCACAGCAAATGATATTCAGACAATTGCTAAGAGAATGGAATGAGATTTGGTAAGTTTCTCTTTAGTATAAATGTAGTGCTGTTAAATGACCTAATGTAGCTCTACATCTTGGAAATATTTAAGATCATTTACCTCATATTTACTATCAAGTGCATTTGCTTAGTTCTGCTCATCCAGCACCAATTAGGGTGACAAGGGACCAGGATTAGAATTTTTACTATCCTAATTCAGGCAATAAACCAAAAACCCACGCTTTCCTGAATGCATTAGGAAGGTCCAGGAAAGCACATCTCAATATGGTTTAGTGCTATTAGAAAAGGTTCACGGAGTTATAAGCCTTTAGCAACATCAATGGTTTGGGCCTAGGATACCTAAAAGATCACTTAAAGCTCCTAGACTAGGACTGCAGGCAGCTCCATTTCTCAGGCACAATGCTGCTGTCCCCCAGGGGTATTGCTCGTCCTGTGCAGGAGACAGGGCTTTCTTAGGGCAAGCCCAAGATCATCGAACCACAAGCATCACCACCTTCTGCTCTGACTGCAAGGCTTTCTTCCACCTTGCTTTTGCTGATATAGACACACAGGACACATTAAATGATTAAAAAAACCCAAACAAAAAACTACAATTTCATCTTGGAGAGAAAAAAGAAACATGACAAATGCTAGTCCTGTGGCTTAATGCACTATTGGAAAGTGCTCATACTACAGTGATGATGCCCATATAAAAATCTGAACAGACTCAAAAGTAATTTATTTTCAAAATGAGAAGGATGTTTCTATGTGTTGTTTATACCAGACAAAACAGTTTCTAGAGAGGACTTTTGCTAATCATTGAAACCATCCGGGCTTTTCAGGATCGGAGCCAGTGATCAGCTCTTAGAGCATCCTTGGATGTTGCGATAGACTCCTCAGAGACAGAAGTCCCAGTGCAAAACCAGGAAGTAGAGGTACATACATGCTGAAACCGCCCCTCAGTTTTCACAATGAGGAACAACTTTGAAGTTAAAACTGAAGGGTTGTTTTAGCTTCCCCACTCCACTCAGCACAGAGGCAGCGAAAAAGTGCTGTCAACAGCCAGGGATTCAACAGTTGATCAGTGGCTTCTCCTCCTGTAAAGCAGAAAGGGAGAAAAATTAACATAAAAACAGGGATTTAAAATGTTTAAAGTAAATATTAAAGTCAGGGAGAAGAAGGAAACTAGACAGAAGCATGGCCTGTGATTCTATTTGGATATTAGAGACAAAGGTGGGTGAGGAAGTATCTTTTATTGGACCAAATTCTGTCGGCGAAAGGAAATAAGCTTTCAAGCTTACACAGAGCTCTTCTTCAGGTCTGGAAAAGGTACTCAGAGTGCCACAGCTTAATACAAGATGGAACATATTGTTAAGGAAAGGAGTTAACATGTTGCAAGAGACCATTCAAGGTGAAGTGAACAGTTAACATCTCGCAGTGGTAGGACAAAAGAGGGTTAGTGGATTACAGATTGGATTTATAGCTCATTACAACAATGTCTTTATTGAGTTCATGATTTTTACTATCTAACAAAATTATGAATGTAAGCTCCCAGGCTCATCTTTTGAAGATGTTGTGCAGGTTTCTTCTGAGAGGTCAGGTATGGAATGATCATTTTGTGAAGTGTCCACCCACGAGTAATATGGTGTTTTTGACAGGTTTCAGAGTAGCAGCCGTGTTAGTCTGTATCCGCAAAAAGAACAGGAGTACTTGTGGCACCTTAGAGACTAACAAATTTATTAGAGCATAAGCTTTCGTGGGCTACGAAAGCTTATGCTCTAATAAATTTGTTAGTCTCTAAGGTGCCACAAGTACTCCTGTTCTTTTTGATGGTGTTTTTGTATTCTCATTTTTCTGTGGCCAGGTCTACACTACAAATTTATATTGGTATAACTATGAAAAATCCACACCCCATGAGCAACGTAGTTATACTGACTTAACCCCTGATGTAGGCAGCGCTATGTCGGCAGGAGAGTTTCCCCCATCAACATAGTTCCGCCTCGCAGAGGTGGATTAACTACACCGATGGGAGCAGCTCTCCTGTCAGTATAGAAATGTCTCCACTTAACTGCTACAGCGGCGCAACTGCACCGATGCAGCATTTTAAGCGTAGACCTGCCCTGTAAGAGTTCATTGGAGAGTTTGATTGTTTTGTTTCACCCACATAGTTATTGGGGTATGTCTTCACAGTAATTAGACACTTGCAGCTGGCCCGTACCAGCTGACTTGGGCTCGTGGGCCTCAGGCTAAGGTGCTGTTTAACTACAGTGTAGATGGTCCAGCATGGGTTTCAGCCCAAGCTCTGGGACCCTCCCACCTTACAAGGTTCTAGAGGCCGGGCTCCAGCCTAAACATTTACACTGCAATTAAACAGCCCCTTAGCCCAAGGCCCATGAGCTCAAATCAGCTGGCACAGGCCAGCCGTGGGTTTTTAACTGCAGTGTAGACATACCCTTAATATGCTGGATGAGGTATACCACATGTTGTGATAGGCATGTGTAGGACCCATGGATCTTGAAAGGTGTGTTGTGGGGGTCATGGAGAAATGGTTTCAGCCTAGTTCCTAATGCACACTAATCACTGCTGCCATTGGCCCTTATTGGCAGTCTCAGCAGAGGTCCCAAGGACTGACTGTGCTACTGCTAGGTGTGCTTCCTCTGATAAGGGCTAAATTTCACTGAGAGGGAGTTAGTGGCTGGTGTATGCGGAAGTTTGTATTGCTTGCTGCCCATGTTGTGACTACTGTTGGATAGAGAGCTTCATTCTCCAGAAAAGCGAATCCTGCATATTTACCAGCAATAAGTTCACTCCAGTTTTTTTAAAATCACATATTCATCTACACAAACACTGCATAAAAGCCAGCCAAGGTTGCTGAAGAACAACAATGCAAAATTGAAAATCGTGAAAATGAGGAAACATAAGGTAAAGGCATATATCTATTTACATCTTTTGCTAAGATCTGGGGAGAAACGGTATCTCCAGAAAGGGCTACTGGCATTGTAGGGAGACAGAATCTCAGTTTGCTTCAGCAGGCCTCATCTGGAGTACTGTGTCCAGTTTTGGGCCCCACACTACAAGAAGGATGTGGAAATATTGGAAAGAGTCCAGCGGAGGGCAACAAAAATGATTAGGGGTCTGGAGCACATGACTTATGAGGAGAGGCTGAGGGAACTGGGATTGTTTAGTCTCCAGAAGAGAAGAATGAGGGGGGATTTGATAGCTGCTTTCAACGAAGGGAGGTTCCAAAGAGGATGGAGCTCGGCTGTTCTCAGTGGTGGCAGATGACAGAACAAGGAGCAATGGTCTCAAGTTGCAGTGGGGGAGGTCTAGGTTGGGTATTAGGAAACACTATTTCACTAGGAGGGTGGTGAAGCACTGGAATGCGTTACCTAAGGAGGTGGTGGAATCTCCTTCCTTGGAGGTTTTTAAGGCCCGGCTTGACAAAGCCCTGGCTGGGATGATTTAGTTGGGAATTGGTCCTGTTTTGAGCAGGGGGTTGGACTAGATGACCTCCTGAGGTCCCTTCCAACCCTGATATTCTATGATTCTATGTTCTGTCCATACCAACTCGGAGGCTACTAGAAAGGCTTCTCTTCTCTGGTAAGAACAAACAACAGAAATGCATCTTTTACAAACTCAGTTCCACAATCCCTTACTGCCCCCTTCATGTTTTTTTTCTATTTGCTACAGCATTAAGTTTGAATCAAAGCCACAGACAGCACCTCCTATTTAACAACCTGAACCAGTGAACTGCAGCTCAGCCAAACATTATTACCTTTCCGCATTTTGCAAAGAAAGAATGTGCAATCAGTGTAAACATTATCAAATATTATGAAGAAGAGCCTGGTCCAGTGGATAGGGCACTAGACCTGGAGCTCAGGGCTATGGTTCTGCCACTAACCTGTTGTATGACCTTGAGCCAATCCCCTCTCTTGTCTGTACCTCTCCCCTCCCAACCATGTCTCAGTCTTGTCTATGACAGGCTGTAAGCTCTTAGGGACAAGAACTGTCTCTGGCTGCACTCAGGACAAGGGGGCCTAAGCGCTACCATGGCAGTGCACCGGGGAATGCTCTCAACAAAAGCTTTGAGCCCTCAGGAGTTTGACAAAAACCCAACGCAGCCATCCTGGGGCTCGGCACGAGAGCGCGCTGGCCAAGACACCTGCCAGCGCTGGGCGCAGCGAGCGGCTCCCGCCCTACCTCGCTAGTGAACATGGCGCAGAAGTAGTCGCTGCAGGCCGCCAGCACAATGCGGTGCGCGGCGAAGTCTTTCTGCTCCACGCGCAGAGTCACGTCGCAGAGCGTGCTGCTCTTCCGCAGGCCGTTCATGGCGTTCAGGATGGACTTGGCGTGGGAGTTGGTCATGATGTCCTTGGGGGCCATGGCGGCGCGGGAGGGGCGCAGCTCCCGGGCGCCTGGCCGGGGCTCTCCCAGCACTGGGGGCGCCCGGGAGAGTCACGGCGGCCCCCGGGCCGGGCGGCTCGGCTGAGGGGACCCCTGCGCGCGGAGGCTGGAGCGGGGCCCGATCCCGCTAGACGGAACAACTGGGGGGGGCCGGGGGGGGGGGGGGGAGCAGCGCACCCGAAGCTGCTCGGCAGGGCCCGGCCGCCTCCGCCGCGCCAACCGCCAGCTCTAGGCTCCGCCGCGCGGCACCACCAGACGCACGCTGGTGACGTAACCCCGCGCAGACCCCGCCCTTCGTTACCCAGCAACGGAACCCTCTCCTGTTGCCCAGCAACAGACCCCTGTACCCGAGCCCTGGAGGTTGTGTGCGCCCGCCCACCTCCCAGGATTTCCAATAAGGCCTCTGCTCCGCACCGCGTTGCGTGGGATCGTTCGGACCCGGGAGCAAGAGTCTTGCAAGAGCTGCGGGGCGTGCGTGGGGTGGGGGTAAAATGACCAGGCTCTGCACACTGGCCAATCCACGGGAGGGAGCACGTTTGTAGCAGGAAACCAGCTTACTTTGTAAGCTGTGGGTCACTGAGCGGGGCCCGAACCCCACTATGTTGTCAGCTGCAGTGTTACTACATGGGATGCAAATCCTTTTACACTGTACACTGCACCGATACCGTGCATGGTGCAATTACACTATAAGGTGTAGTGTTATCCTATGCAATGCAATCGCGTCACACACTGTGCAGGCCATTACATTATATACTGCAGTTACCCTGATGCTACCCTGTACAAATCATGTTACATTGTAAGCTGAAGTATTACCCCCATGTGGTGCAAACACTGTCAACTGTAGTGTTACCATCCTCTCCCATGTGGTGCATACCCTGTTAACACTATAAGGTGTGGTGTTACACCCCATGTGGTGCAAACCCTGTTACATTCAGGAGTGGCGCCAGGGTTTTTGGCGCCCTAGGCGGGGGTGCTTCCGCGTTCCCAGTCGTCGTCGGCAATTCTGCGGCGGGGGGGGTCCTTCCCAGGAAGTTCCCCTGGGATGAGGCCTGCTGGCAGGGCAGTGTGTCTGAGCAGTATGCCCTGCTACTGCCTTGCAGATAGAGGATTCCATTGAATAATTTACATAAAATGATTGGGCAACAGGAAGCTGGTCCTTATTCTCCATTGCACTAGATATACACATAAACCAAGCTCTGTTTCCTAGGAGACTTTGCAGAAGGAAGATCATCTTTCCATGCTAATACCCAGAGCAAATGTTCATGGAAATCCATCCAGAAAATATACCATAGAGGAGCAGGAGTTCCTCTTTCACAGGAATAATTGCCAGGAACTATTGGGAGCTCTTTAAAGTTGTGGGAATTGAGGGAGGCCCTCCTGACACCGTTGTCAGTGTGCCCCCAACTATGTCACCATACAGAGCTGCCTGCTGGGGAGTGGGTGATAGCGGGGTAATACCCGTATAGAGCCCCCTGCTGGGGAAGGAGATAGTAACAGAGTAACACATGCACAAATTCCTTTGCTGTGGGGTGGGGGGAAGGGGGATGGTAACAAAGTAACACCTGCACAGATCCCCCTGCTGCGAGGGGGGGGGGGGGAGGGGAAGGGGAATGGTAGCAGAGTAACACCTGCACAGAGCCCTCTATCAGGAAGGGGATGGTAACCATAGAATCACAGAATCATAGAAGATTAGGGTTGGAAGAGACCTCAGGAGGTCATCTAGTCCAACCCCCTGCTCAAAGCAGAAACAATCCCAACTAAATCATCCCAGCCAGGGCTTTGTCAAGCCGTGCCTTAAAAACGTCTAAGGATGGAGATTCCACTACTTCCCTAGGTAACCCATTCCAGTGCTTCACCACCCTCCTAGTGAAATAGTTTTTCCTAATATCCAACCTAGACCTCCCCCACTGCAACTTGAGACCATTGCTCCTTGTTCTGTCATCTGTCACCACTGAGAACAACCTAGCTCCATCCTCTTTGGAACCCCCCTTCAGGTAGTTGAAGGCTGCTATCAAATCCCGCCTCACTCTTCTTTTCTGCAGACTAAATAAGCCCAGTTCCCTCAGCCTTTCCTCATAAGTCATGTGCCCCAGCCCCCTAATCATTTTCGTTGCCCTCTGCTGGACTCTCTCCAATTTGTCCACATCCTTTCTGTAGTGGTAGGCCCAAAACTGGACACAGTACTCCAGATATGGCCTCAACAGTGCCGAATAGAGTGGAATAGTCACTTCCCTCGATCTGCTGGCAATGCTCCTAATAATGCAGCCAATATGCCGTTAGCCTTTTTGGCAACAAGGGCACACTGTTGACTCATATCCAGTTTCTCGTCCATTGTAATCTCCAGGTCCTTTTCTGCAGAATTGCCGCGTAGCCAGTTGGTCCCCAGCCTGTAGCAGTGCATGGTATTCTTCCATCTTAAGTGCAGGACTCCGCACTTGTCCTTCTTGAACCTCCTCAGATTTCTTTGGCCCAATCCTTCAATTTGTCTATGTCATCCTGGACCCTATCCCTACCCTCCAGAATATCTACCTCTCCCCCCCAGCTTAGTGTCATTTGTGAACTTGCTGAAAGTGCAATCCATCTCATCATCCAGATCATCAATGAAGATGTTGAACAAACCTGACCCCTGGGGCACTCCGCTTGATACGGGCTGCCAACTAGACATGGAGCCATTGATCACTACCCGTTGAGCCCAACAATCTAGCCAGCTTTCTATCCACCTTATAGTCCATTCATCCAATCCGTCCTTTTTTAACTTGCTGGCAAGAATACTGTGGGAGACCGTATCAAAAGCTTTGCTAAAGTCAAGATATATCACTTCCACTGCTTTCCCCTCATCCACAGAGCCAGTTATCTCATCATAGAAGGCATTCAGGTTGGTCAGGCATGACTTGACCTTGGTGAATCCATGGTGACTGTTCCTGATCACCTTCCTCTCCTCCAAGTGCTTCAAAATGGATTCCTTGAGGACCTGCTCCATGATTTTTCTGGGGACTGAGGTGAGGCTGACTGGTCTGTAGTTTCCCAGATTCTCCTTCTTCCCTCTTTTAAAGATGGGCACTACATTAGCCTTTTTCCTAATGTCTGGGACCTCCCCCGATTGCCATGAGTTTTTAAAGATAATGGCCAATGGCTCTGCAATCACATCAGCCAACTCCCTCAGCACCCTAGGATGCATTGCATCCACCCCCATGGACTTGTGCATGTCCAGCTTTTCTAAATAGTCCTTAACCTGTTTTTTCACCACTGAGGGCTGCTCACCTCCTCCCCATACTGTGCTGCCAGGCAGTCTGTGAAGACCGAGACAAAAAAAAGCATTGAGTACTTCAGCTTTTTTCACATCATCTATCACTAGATTGCCTCCCCCATTCATTAAGGGTCCCACACTTCCCCTGACCTTTTTCTTGTTGCTAACATAGCTGTAGAACCCCTTCTTGTTACCCTTCACATCCCTTGCTAGCTGCAACTCCAGTTGTGCTTTGGCCTTCCAGATTACACCCCTGCATGCTCGAGCAATATTTTTATACTCCTCCTGAGTCATCTGTCCAAGTTTCCACTTCTCGTAAGCTTCCTTTTTGTGTTTAAGCTCACTGAAGATTTCTGTTTAGCCAAGCTGGTCGCCTGCCATATTTGCTAGTCTTTCTGTACATTGGGATGGTTTGTTCCTGCGCCCAGGGCCGGTGCTACCATTTAGGCAAACTAGGCGGTTGCCTAGGGTGCCAAGATTTGGGGGCACCAAAAAGCGGTGCCCCCAATTTTTTTTACAGCGTTCTTAGGCCCCCTCCCCGAGCGTGTGGTCGCCGCTCCACTTCTCCCGCCTCCCAGACTTGCAGCACCAATCAGCTGTTTGGCGCCGCAAGCCTGGGAGAGGAGGAGAATTAGAGCGGGGGCGGCATGCTCGGGGAGAAGGCGGAGCAGAGGTGAGCTGGGGTGGGGACCTGCTGCACGGCTCCCCGGGGAGGGGGAGCTGCCACGGGGGAGGGCGCCTCAGGGTGGGGGGGGGGCGGGGAGCTGCCGCAGGGCTGGGGGGGGGGGCCGCAAGGTGGAAGTTTCGCCTAGGGCGCGAAACTTCCTTGCACCGGCCCTGCCTGTGCCCTCAATAAGACTTCTTTAAAATACAGCCAGCTCTCTTGGACTCCTTTCCCCGTCATATAAGCCTCCCAGGGGATCCTGCCTATCAGTTCCCTGAGGGAGTCAAAGTCTGCTTTTCTGAAGTCCAGGGTCCGTATTCTGCTGCTCTCCTCTCTTCCTTATGTCAGGATCCTGAACTCAACCATCTCTTGGTCACTGCTACCCAGATTGCCACTCACTTCTACTTCCCCTACCAATTCTTCCCTGTTAACACATGCACAGATCCTGCTGCTGCGGGGGGGTGGGGGGGAGGAGGAAGAAGGGGAATGGTAGCAGAGTAACACCTGCACAGAGCCCCCTGCAGGGGAGGGATGGTAGCAGAGTGACATTCGTTCAGAGCCCTCTGCTGGGCAGGTAGTAGACTGGGGCCCACACAGGGCCACTTACAGAGGAGAGGCATCAGCAGCTGGGATATTTCTTTTCCTCTTCCCCTCCAGCTGAAGGAATGTGCACCAGACCTCCAGGGTCTCCTGCTCCCCCTGGTTTGCTGTAGTGCCAGGAACAATCAGATGCACACATACAAAATGGGAAATGACTGCCTAGGAAGGAGTACTGCAGAAAGGGATCTGGGGGTCATAGTGGATCACAAGCTAAATATGAGTCAACAGTGTAACGCTGTTGCAAAATAAGCAAACATCATTCTGTGATGTATTAGCAGGAGTATTGTAAGCAAGACATGAGAAGTAATTCTTCCGCTCTACTCCGCGCTGATTAGGCCTCACCTGGAGTATTGTGTCCAGTTGTGGGCACCACATTTCAGGAAGGACGTGGACAAACTGGAGAAAGTCCAGAGAAGAGCAACAAAAATGATTAAAAGTCTAGAAAACATGACCTATGAGGGAAGATTGAAAAAATTGGGTTTGTTTAGTCTGGAGAAGAGAAGGCTGAGAGGGGACATGATAACAGTTTTCAAGTACATAAAAGGTTGTTACAAGGAGGAGGGAGAAAAATTGTTCTTC